ATTTATTAATTTTAATATTTAATCCTCATTTTTAATTTAATTTATTTAATTATGATTTAAATATAGTATTTTAGAATTCATTAAAGGCATTGGTGCGAGCGGTATAATAATTGGCCTAGTCATTTATTATATAACACGTTTCTACACCAATCGCTATAATTACCCACCTGGTCCATTTCCATTGCCACTAGTTGGAAACGTACTCAGTAAGTTAATTAATTAATAGCGTCTAATTAAAATAATTTAATTCAATAATTTTCAGTGTTTCGTAATTCCAAAAAGCACTTTGCGGTGGAAATTACAAAAATGAGCAAGATCTATGGCCCAGTGTTTACTCTATGGATTGGACCCTTGCCATTCGTGTTTATATGCGACCTGGATATGGCTCGCGAGTCGTTTAACAAGATTGATTTTACCGGACGCCCTTTTTCGCAATTTGGTAATTAATAAATTAATTGTTTATTAATTAAATGGCAATTATTAAACTAATAGTAACTTAAAATTCAATAATTGCAATTTTACAAAATAATTAAATAAAGAAATTACTTATATAAATTGATAGATAGCAATGCTTATAAACAGAATTAAACAAGATAATACTGACAATATTTTATTTTAATTAAAGGTAGCATATATTGTAATGAGAAACATAAAGACGTTATTTACGATGATTACAGTAAGTGTTGGGAAAGTCTACGCCGAGTATCGCATACAGCAATACAGTAAGAACTTCCGATAATAAACAAAATTATGCATGATATTACTATTTTTATATAAATCACTACAATTATTACCTTATAATACATAATAAATAACAATTAACGCAAATATACAATGTAAAAACTTTATATTTGCTGTATAACAAAAATTCTCTTAATATAGTAACGAAATCTTTAATAATAACATTTTTAAAAACAATTAACTGATTAGTTACTATTCGTAAAATAATTGTTAAAAATAATGCATGCTAAAATTAACAGAAAGTACGCCAAAACAACGGCCTTGTCTGAAGTGGTGGACGAAAACGTGTGTCAAATCGTCCGACGGATTATAGCCGATAATGAGGGTATGTGTCGACCGTTTTCGTCGCACGACTACGTGTATAATGTGTTCGCAAATATTTTAGCCTCAATCGTGTTTAGCGAAAAGTAAATAACCTTATTGCATATTAATTAAACTGTACAGTAACATAGTTATTTT